AGCAGCCGGGTTCTGGTCCGGTTCCTGAACCGACCCGGTTCTGGTTGGAAGCTCAGATTAGCAGGTTTTACTCAGCAGAAAAAATCTAGACCTGTTGAGTTTTTCTACTTCCTGTTTTCAGCCAGAGTCTGCCTCTGATTGGCTGCTGGATGTTTAACTAATAGTTTCGCTGGTCCTGGTTGGTTCTTGTCCTCAGATGGTGAAAACGACGGGCGGTCCGGCGTTCGGAGCGTCGGTGTCCAGCCCGGCCATGACCAGCTCGGCCGTGTCGCTGCTGCAGGACACGCTGAACGAGGACGAGGCGGCGCTCTGGACGGCTCTGGGTCCCAACTGGACGCTCCATCGGTCAGTAGCAACAGATCAGCTGCAGAAGATCTATCAGTCCAGTTCAGCCTTTTATTTGACACAAGATCGTTAATACTGTAAGACAGAAAGCTTGAGACTAAATACTTACTGAGAAAACTAAATATTTTGTTAGCAAGCTAAATATTTAGCTTCAATTTAAATATTTAGCTAAATATTTTGTTTGCTACCTAAAACTTTAGTAATGTAACTATTACTAAAGTTTGATTTGTAAACTACATATTTAGATAGTTTAGAGCTAAATGTTTAGCTTGGAGCTAACTAGTTAGTTATTTAAGATTTTAGTGTCTAAGCTAGAAATTTAGTCAGTAAACTAAATATTCAACTTGCTAAATAAATGTTTTGCAAATACGTCTTGCTAAATATTTGGTTTGTAAACTAAATATTTAGCTAGCTCCAAGCTAGATAATATTAATATTTATAATTTTTTTAAATATACATTTATAATTTATATTAATATGTACAATTAATATTATAAATATTTATAACTATATAAATATTTAGAATTAAATAATTAGCTCAAAATATGTCTATAAATATTTAGCTCAGAGCTTAATATTTCGTTTGCTTGCCCTCTAAATATTTATGGAACTAAACGTTTACTTTGCTAGCTAAATGTTTAGATCAACAAGTTAAATATTTTGCTTGCTAATGAAATATTTTGTTTCAAACTGTGGCATTTATAAGTAAATGAATAAAATATGATAATATTATGTCTTGTTACAGGTTAATAACCCAAATTATTGCTGTAAAATAGTTGCATTGTTTTTTTACACTTGCTGCTATTCCTGCTGTTTCTATTTATAATTCCTGAAACCAAAAGCAGAACCAGTAAGTTAATACTGAACACACCTGAGCTCAGGTGACGACAGCAGTCAGTAACGCAGTGTTCCCTCCCAGCGCTCAGCTCAGAGGACCTGTGGCTCCGTACAACCCGGTGTTCCTGAGCGGCTGGAAGCCGGAAGCGGTGCGGGCGGACGGGCAGGTTTGGGAGGATCCGGTCGAGTCACAGCATAAACATGAGGCCCACCGAGTAAAACAGGAGGTACGGAATACCTGAGCCTGGCTCAGCTCACCTGGTTCACCGAGGCGCCGGTGGCGGCGCTGCTGCACCTGAACGCTGCTCTGACTCTGAGGGTTCAAAGGTCAAACCACCTGAACCAGCTGTATTTAGTATTTACGAACTAGATGTTTAATTTGAAGCTAAACATTTAGCTTCATGTTATTCTTGGGCTTCAGATTTAGCTTGAAGCTAAATATTTAACTAAGCTGCCGATACAGATTTCACTCTACAGAAATAATTTTACGGTCAAATTGTTGCCATAAGCCTCAGTTGGACTCAGATTAAATCACAAGCAGCTGGACTTTATTTACTAATGACATGGCGCCTGACGGTTATCAGTAGAACCGGATTTTACTTAAGGTATCAAAGTAAACGAGGTGCTAAATATGAATGCAGAAAATGCTTTTTCAGCTTTTCATTTGTGACAAAAATTAAGAAAACAATGTTTTGTTTTACTTTGGCTTTGTGTTTTGTAATTTAAAACCCACTGATGAACTCATGACATCATTTCCTGTTTACCTGCAGCAGCAGGAGTAGCATCCAGCTCCTCCAGAAATCAGAATCTACAGCAAAGAGTAAGTCCTGTCCGGCGCCGTGTGGCTCTCTGGCTGCAGGGGAACCTCATGGCTGCCTGTGCTGCTTTCAGGGACGGACCGCCGGCCGAGGCCGAGCGCCTCTACATGTGCAGCTACGACTTCATCGCCAGGAACAACAGCGAGCTGTCAGTGCAGCAAGGGGAGACTCTGGAGGTCAGCCTACAGAAACCCACATAAAATCAACCCAAAAATTATTAATCAAGCTGTTAGTAGGAGGTTGAGCGGATTGAAAGATTTCTCATTAATTCATTTTTTATTTTCTTTTTTTAAAATTCAAAGTTATGTCTTTTAACTCAATAACTGATATTTACCAACAATATATATATTTCACTGCGGACACCTTTGGAAAAAAACACAAACAGATACAAATAAATATCGGTTGCCCTGTTTTGTTTATGGGGCTGATATGATATGATACTGATATGTTTTTAAAAAATGACGATATATTGGCACCAACGTGCTTCCAGAGTACATTCAAAACAAAACATAAGCAGTTTTTATCTTAAACATAAGTTTCAATATGACAGCCTAATAATGCCACTGCCATAAACAAACGGTTATTTTTCATAAAATGTAAAACTTTTAATATAATAAAAGGCGTTTGCTTGATGAATGTGTGAATTCACAGAGCAAAAAAATGTTATATAATATATTAGCTAGAGCTAGCTAGAGGCTTAGTTCAGGTTCTGTAGATAGCAGATTTTCGACTTATAAAACTCTGCAAAATTACATTACCATCTGCAATATTGTAGAAAAACTAGGACATTTCTAAAATTAATCTAAAAAATAATCTCTGAAAACTATAAATACATTTTTTACATTTTAAATTAATAGCTAAATAACTGGCTAGCTAGCTTGCTAGCTTAGTAGCGTCTATCATCGTCGCTGGGTCACTTCTGTTGACAACGCATATGATTTATTTATTTCCGATTTTTCTTTTGTACACTTCTAATATTTATGACGTGTTTTACCGGTTTTCCCTGATCATTTCCGTCTTTAATCAGGTGCTCGAGTCATCCAAGCGCTGGTGGAAGTGTCGTAATCGGTTCGGCCAGTCGGGCTTCGTGCCCTTCACCGTCCTGGAACCGGTGGATCACATAGAGAGTCCCACAAGCAGCAGGCCTCCCAGCGTAAGACACACACACACACACACACACACACACACACACACACACACACACACACACACACACACACACACACACACACAGCGAGCTGCAGCTTTGTTTACCTCCCCGTCGTTGCAGCTTCCTCCTCCGGCTCCGCTCATGAAGTCGGCCAGTCCGGTCCCGCCGAGCCCGCCGACCCTGATGCTGACCCCGTCCCACTCACCGCAGCGGCCCCGCAGCTCGCCCACCTACAGCCCGCTCGGCCCGGTGGCAGACGAAACCGATAAAGGTGAGAATCTCTTTCTGCTTTGTTTCTGAAATATTCAACACGTTTCCCTGAAGGGCTCGTTGCTGATTTTTGGCCCAGAAACGATGTTTAAGTAAATATACAAAGTGTAAACAAATGGTCTTTGCATGTTTAGTGCTTCGCTTTTTCCTCAGTAATCAAAACTACAAAAATATTGTTTGTCTTGGAATATAAAATATCTACGACGAGGTGTTAGAAGGGAAAAAGAGGAATACATTTCTGCCAAAAATAGATCAACTTTGAGATTAATATGACATTTTCGGGAGGAAAAACCTAAAAAAGTTGAAACATTTAGATTTTTTTTCTGGAAAGATTTCTGAATTTTTTCAAGAAAATTTTTGACCATCGGAAATCAGAAATTTCTAAATTTTTCTTAGAAAATTTGTACAAACTTCAACTTTTTCTAGTACATTTTTGACTTTTTGAACTCAGAAATTTCCACGTTTTGTTTCTCAAAATTTTCTGACATTACTCTAAAAACCTCCTTTATTCTAGCACATTTAAAACTTTTCAAACAGAAATTTCTGAGGTTTTTTTTTTTTTTAGATATTTTGGTGTAAATTTGCTCCGTTTTTCTGTCTACCGTGGCCCCTAACATGCCATCGTGGATTTTATATTTAAATGTGTTGTTTTTAATATTGAAAAGGGAATAACAAATTAAATTTTCCATTAAGTTACATTATTTTCCTATACTTGTCATAAAAACTTTTGCCATTTTATTCTCCATGGCTGTTTTCTGTGATTTCTTCTGTCTTGTGATGGAAATCGATGCGTTCAGGCTGGTTTATTGATTATTTGTGTGTGAACATGAAGTGATGCTGGTGAACGACGAGCTGCTCCAGAGGCTGACCAACGGAAAGGCCAGCCTGAACAAACCGCTGGTCATCCACCGGTCCGCAGAAACCTCCGTCCCGCTGGACTACCACTCTCCCCCGGAGGAGGTGGCCGAGTGGCTGCGGGGGAAGGGCTTCAGCGACCCGTGAGTGACCGCCGCCTGGTTCCCACGCTGCTCCGGCAACCTGCGGGTCTCACCTGTGTGTGTGTGTGTGTGTGTGTGTGTGTGTGTGTGTGTGTGTGTGTGTGTGTGTCAGGACGGTCCAGTGCCTCAGCGTGCTGACGGGAGCGCAGCTTTTCTCGCTGAATAAGGAGGAACTGCGCGCCGTGCTGCCGGATGAAGGAGTCCGGGTCTACAGCCAGCTCACTGTGCAGAAAGCACTGCTGGAGGTAAAACCACACTTCATAATTCATTTATCTACCTTCAACACCGACCTGTTCAGAAAACATTAAAGCATCAAACACGTCGGACTTTACCGAGGCACGTAATAAAAACCTCGGTCACGTGACCGACGTTCTTCTAACCTTGTAAATATTCCCATTTCAGAATAATATTGAAAACAGCAGCACAGCAGCGTGATGGTCCGACGTCCCTAATACGAAAATTTCTTCTAAAATAAATAAAAAAAATTTACATTTCGAGAAAATTTATAGAAAACCTTGGAAAGTCAAACATTTTCAAGAAAAACTGACTTCTTCCAAATGAAAAGCAATTAAAACTTCTGAAATTTAGAAATTCCCACGTTCCAGTTAGCTTAAAGCTAAATATTTAGTTAGCGAGCTAAGCCTTTAGCTCCAAACTAATATGTAGCTAACTAATGCTTAGTTAGCAATCTGAATTGCTAGCCCACAATTTAAGTAATTTCAAGCCACATATTGCTAATTATTTAGCTCCAAGCTAAATGTTTAGCTCAGAAATTAAAATATTTACTTTAAAGCTAAACATTTAGTTTGAATCTTCATTTATGGTGAAAGTATGACTTTTAAAAATGTGTTGTTTTTTTCTCAGGCTAAATAAATACTTTGCTGTTAATTTTTGACTAATTTTGCAAATGGCTCCTTATTGCTTGTCTGGAATAAAAAAGTTTCCAAATTGTGACTTTTTTCACCATTTTCAAATTTACAAACTTTTTTTGTTGAAAAAACAAAAATCTGTTTTTAGATTTTTTTTAAAATCTAAACCTTTGATTGTTGGCGGACGATTCTGAAGCCTTTCCATCCCGCCGGTACCGCTTGGTTCTGCTAACCGGGTCGCTCCAGGTCCAAACCGCCTCCAACTTGGTTGTTTTCTGTGCAGGACGCCAAGCGGGCCACGGAGCTGGAGGCCGTCATGGAGAAGCAGAAGCAGAAAGTGGATCTGAAGCTGGAGAGCAGCACACTGTGAGCTGCAGTGTGAAGACGCTCGGCTGGTTCTGATCCGACTCAGGCAGTTAAAGTGACTTTTATTCTGCTCATTTAAGGCATCCACCAGTTTCTATGGATGAAGACGTTTTCTCTGCAGTGCAAAATAAATATTTAAGCTCCTTCTGGTCTTGGTTTCACTTATTTAGCTGAAAATCCAAATGAAACAAAAACGAGACAATAAAAGTGTTTTTTTTATTTTTATTGTGACTTTAAAGAAAAAATTTCAGCCAAACTGAACAAATCAGGGGAGCAAAGCATCCATTCAATCTGTTCTCTACTCTAAACGGGCCGTAATGATCGATGACTGTCGGATCGTTTCCATGCCAACAGTAGATGCTGTTAAATTAAAGAGAAACAGTGAAACTAACAGAAAACTCTCACCAGAACTGAACAGAACCGGGTCGAACTCACTACTTTTATTTTTTTTTTTAGTTCCAGAATCAGAAAATAAAAAGATTTTTTCATGTTTTTTTTAAAGTGGAGATGGAACAAGACTACAAGTTTAAAAACGGTTTGGGTTTGAATTAGAAACGCTTTAAACTGGGAGACATTCAAGAAAAGCATGTGACAGCAGGAAGGAAGCCTCCGAGGGACAAACAGGGCGGGCCTTCCACACTAACATATTTACAGACCTTTATCAAAAAAACATCAGAAAAAAAAAGGAGTAAAATCAGTTGCATTTAATGATTTTTTTTGTTGCTAATTTAATACGTTTGCAGCCACCTGGTCTGATGAAACCGAAGTCATGTCATGGTTTAGCTAGCGGTGACTGCATGACCAAATATGGAGACGATGAGACGCAGGAAGGCAACGACTACGTTTAATAAAAACGGACAGAGTGGAGAGACGGGAGGCAATGAGGCGCCGCCGTTTGGTCTTCAGAAATCTCCCCCAGCGTCTCGCTCCTCCCCCCGGCGGGAGTCCGACCGGCCGTTCATGCTGTCCCGCTTGTCTCGGTCCCGGGAGCGGTCTCGAGACGAACGCTCGCGGTCCCTGGACGACCTGAGAGAAACGGCCAATCAGACGGTCGATAAGCTGACAGGTAAATCTGATAAAATCACGTCAGAAACAAACATTTACATCTGCAGTCATTCACTGAGAAAGACAGAAAGAAAGAAAAGGACAACAACACAAAGAAAGGATAGAAAGAAAGCAAAACAGAAAGCAAAACAAAGAATAAGATGACAAAGAAAGCAAGATAGAAAGATAAAGAAAAAGACAAAGGCAGAAAGTAAGATGGAAAGAAAAACAGAAAGAACAAAGAAAGCCACATATGTAGCGCCCCCATGCAGGGCCGCCCCCCTGCGGGGCCGCCCCCACCGCCGCCGCCCTGCAGCCCTACTTGTGTCTGGAGCTCTGCTCGTGGCTGTGGCGATGCCCTCGGCTGCGGGAGCGGGATCTGCTGCGGTGCCGCCGCTTCCTGTCCCTGGAGCGTGAGCGCGAGCGGCGCCGGTCCCGGGACGAGGAGCGTGAGCGCCTCCGTCTGCGGTCACGTGAACGGGACCTGGAAAAAAAAAAACAATAAATAAACACAACAAATCGCTTCAAATCCAGAACTTACCCTAAAGCTTTTCATGAAATAAAACCTCAGGATCGTCCAGTAAGCTCACCTTCTATGCTCTCTGCTGCGTGACCGAGTCCTGAGAAACAAACAGGGTAAAGTTACCACAGGGCACCATGACCACTGAACGCCCAACGTTTCCATTCTTACCTTTTCCGCATCCGTTCCTCTTTTTCTCTCTCCTCTCTCCTCTTTAGGCGCTCCTGGTTCCTTTTCTCCTGCTTCTCAACCACTGTTTTCTGGTAAAAAACAAAAAATATTTAAAGAGAAAGAAAATCTATTTGAAGGAACACTTCTAATCTTCATATTCACTCCAAGTTCAGTCAAAATTATTCTTAAATAATTAGATTTTCTTTCAGAATGAGCCGTTTTAAGGCTTCTTGTCACTTTAAATCCAAATAAGCTGCTACTGGCCATCAACCCAACTCAACAATTACACTCGCATGAAAATGGCTGCAAAATAGATGTGCAATGAGAGAAACCAGCTGACCAAACCTGATGGAACTTTGCTTGGGTTGCTAGGTAATGGACAGAGTTCCGCTGGGGTTGCTAGGTAACAGGGAGTTACCCAGCAACCTTTTGTGACATTACATTCCAAAAGTTTTTGAAACAATTAATTTTCCCAACACTAAAAGAAAGTGAACTTTTTGCAAAATAACGGCTGGGTGTTTTTTTTTAATAGCTTATGGTCTTTTTTTGTTTTGTTTTTTGTTTAGAACCAGTAGAAACTTAAATCAAATTAAAAAACGTGTAAAATGTGAATTTTGCATACTAGCTCACCTTTAAAAACCGTTTTTAAAGGGGAAGCTCAGCACATACCTTTAGTTGGTCCAGTTTCTCCCTGATCTGGATGAAGCCCAGGTGAAGCTTCCCACCAAAATGGTCGGCCAGGCGGCGGTCGTTGTCATGGAGACCCAAGTAGGCGGAGCAAACCTCACAGACGCGGAGTTTCTGTTGTTGGAAGCTGGAGGCTGGCATGGAGTTTCTGTATTCCTCCTACCAGACGAAGATGAGGGCAAAAGAAACCCCACAGTGTTACTTTTAAGAAGAGGAAGCACTTCCTGTTCCTGGCGGTTCTCCTGACTCACCTCGGCATCCTTTTTCCTGGTGCGGACCTTCTCCACCTCCTGCAGAACCTTCTGGGCTTCGTCCACGTTGCCCTCGGCGCCGAGCTGCTCCGCCTTCGCCAGCAGCTTCCCGATCTCCTCGTTCAGCTCATGGACCTTCTCAGCCTGAAACGCAGCAAGGCATGATGGGTTTAGCTGCGTAGCCAACACACACACACACACACACACACACACACACACACACACACACACACACACACACACACACACACACACACACACACACAGAGGTGAGTGAAGCTCCACCTTTGCAGCCACTTCTGCGCTGATCTCCTCCTGCGTCTCAGCCAGCCGTTTCTTGGCTAACTCTGTCCGCCGGTCGCAGTCGGCGATGAACGTCTCCAGGTGATCCACGGCCTTCAGGGGGAAACAAACATTTATCTGATCATTAAGTCTGATTATCAATAACCAATCATCATTTTCTGAAGGTCGTCACTTGCATCAAGCTCGAAGAACAGATCTCTCTCCTTGGAGGCGATTTCGTAGTCGGCTCGCAGCGCCAGGTCGTGGATCTTTGTGCATTCGCCCAGATCCATACGCTGCAAAACAACAGAAATTATTCAACACAAGTGAAATCAAATAAACTCGTTTATGCATCTGAATATGTACAAAATGGTTTAAGATGCAGGTTTTAATAAGTATTCAGTGTAATTTCCCTCTTTCTATCCAGAAAAAGACAAACTTTCATGGATTTTACATAATCAATTAGGGCTGAAATGTTTCCATTACAAACGTGCCCAGTGAATATCTGTTGATATTCCACCAATGTCAAAAAAACTATTTCGCAATTATGGTGTTTCCAGTAAATAAGAAATGCAACTAAAGTCATGTGAATACATTTGTTCACATAAAGTCATAAAAAAAAAAAATAATTCTCATCCTAAAGCTACTTCCTGTCGTCTTCTTCGTGGTTTCTGGCAGTAGTAATGTCTTGTTGATGATCACATGACTTGTGTGACCCCAAACAAAGAGCATTTCCATTGCAGTTTTAAAAAATAGACTAATTTTGACACAGACAAAACAAACCCAACTCAAAATTCTCATGTTTCCATTAAGCTAATTTATTTTCAAAAAGCCTAATTGTGAATTCTTTGGTGAATGGAAACACAGCTGGTGACCAAAAATCCTCAAGCCAAATTATCTGCTTCGAAGCTTCGTTAAATATTCTGTAAAGTCTTTAATTGCTCCCACCAAAGCACAGCGTACTGAATCGTTTGTGTTTCACCAAAACGCTTCCGCGCCATCGATGTGTGTATGCTAAGCTAAGCGGTACTTTTAGTGGAAGATGTGCGCCAAAATTAACAAATCAAAAGTGTGGAAACATTTTAGACTAAAATTAAGACGTCAAACAGAATTAGCTTTCAACAACAGCATGAACAGAAAACAGCCACTGCAGACATCAAACTCTGTTTTTGTTTGTTTATATTCACTTTGCAGAGTACGTGGTAATCTGTGGTAATCTCAGATTTACAAAGAGGAATATTTTGGCTAACGTTAAATAAACAGACTGACCACAGCAGCATGTTTAGCTAACAGTGTGTGAAAAACGACTAAGCAGCTCTTACAGCTCAGCATCAGATTAACCACTTGAAGTTTACAAGCTGCAGCTAGTTTACAGTACCTAACTCTTCCTCCTCTTCAGTAGCTAGCTGCTCAACCTCTCACTACTAGCTAAGTGGAATCAACCAACTCTTTGGTTGCCTAGCAACAACCAGCTACTACCAAAACATATTCAGTTTGGAGAGACTTCACAATTCATTTTATTTGTTTGTTTATTTATTTTGGACATTTAAAATGTTTTCCATTATGCAATTAAAACATAAATATTATCGTTTATAGCGATAACTTCAGGGCCGGTTTGTCGCCCGGTACCGGTTGCCATGGTTACCGGCGTATTTTGGGGCGTGAGAGCGTGACCCACCGTTCCAGACAGGATGTCGTGCGGGCAGCAGTTGAGCAGGTGACTCTTGCAGACTCGCTCGTCGGTGAACTTGACCCTCTGCCGCGTCTCGTCGCCTGAAACAAGAGAAGAGGAGTGAGGAAGAGGAGGAAGAGTTAGGCTACGCTAACGTTAGCTGCAGCTGTCACAGGTACAAACCTTCCCTTTAAGGGAACTGGACTCATATCTGTTTCTGTGTTAATCATAGTAAACATAGATGTTAAACATGTAGATCTTACTGCTGTATGTCTGGTTCTTACCTTCCAAAGAATCAATAAATCATGTTAAAGGCCCACACTGCTGCTGGAAGCAGACACACCGATCCAGTATCAATATCTGTATCGGTGCCGATATCGGAAAAATATCAGTGGCAATGAGTCCAATCTATTCAGTCTATTTCTACTCACTTTACATTATATTAATAACTCCTAAACAAACTGTCTGAACTTTTCTGACAGTTTGTTGCTGTTTATATTTAATCTTTTGTTTTCGGCTGTTTGAATCCTAACTGCACTGACTGAACAAATTAAAGTTGTTTTATTTTTACATGTTTAACTACAGAATTAGTCATTTGTAATTCAGTATGTTTATGTCTGTTTAAATAAATCCAGCTGTGTCAGATCGATACTAAACCTCAGATATCGGCACTGAAAGAAAAAACGTGGATCGGTGCATCTCCAGCTGGTAGCAGTGAAATGAGATTTACTTCTAACTAAAAGCATAAATTATGTTTTTAATACTTTCCTGGACAGAAAAAAATGAACTAATGCACAAAAAATGAAAATCACTTTGATAAAAATCTCCAGCCAAGCCTTTCATAAAAATAAAACACTTAAAAAAAGAATCCAAGGGAAAGAAATGCGGTTATACACACTGCGATCTGCACCACATACTGTACCCTTCTGCATCTTCAACACCTCAGCTGCAGAATTTTAAACCCGCTGCAGAAAAGTTTAAATGGGAACAGATTTCTGGCCCAAACCTGCAGTAAGAAGTTGGGAGTCATACACAAGTCAGATTGTAAACGAGTGGATTGCTAATCTGTAATCTGCCGTGTAAAGGCGTTGCAGCCAGTCGGCTCGTATGGAAACAACGCAACTAGACGTGTTAGCTGAAGATAACTGATGTGCCACTGAGGAATTATACGATTATTTAAGTAAAAAGCTACAATAAACTGCAGAAGGCAGAGAAATTGTTTGGATATTGATCATAACAGCTTTAAAAATCATGTGTGACTCACGGCTCGATGAACATGAGGCTTTTCTGCAACTCCCTTGCAGATTGATGTAGGCTGGCAATGATACACTGAACCTTAATGAATAAAATAAAGGGGCCACAATTGTTCAGTTTGTATGCAACACATGTATGGGAAGAATCAGAAATGAATGTGATCACACACGCACACCACACAGACCCGCTCTGACTGAACAGATGGAACCGCCAGCGCTTCAGAGGCCACAAAAAACAAAAAACGCAACAAAAAAACCTGAAAACGTCGATAAATTGATCCATTAACTAAGACAAACATAGTCATTTCTATTTGCATCATTTATTGTTTTTCTACCAAAACCTGGATGATAAAAGTCTTCAGCCTGGTGTTTTGGTCTCTTATTTTGAAGGATAATTTTGCTGAATTCATTTCATTTGTTGTTTTGTTTTTTATTTTAGATATTCAAAATGTGTTCCAGTTCCAGAGTTAAATGTTCGCTAAAATTTAGAGTTTGAAAATGTGTTCTTGCATTATTACATTACTGGAAAATAGTCTCAAACAACAATATTATCGTTTATCGCAATAAATTCTGGACGATTGATCATTTAACATTAGCTATGGTCACATGATTAAATGCTTTCAGTGCCTCCAAAAGTACTGAGTCTTTTCAAATTTATAATTTATAACCACAAGTTTTAATTTGATCTAAGCCAGGGGTGTACAAAATGTGGCACAGGGGCCATCTGAGGCCCTTGAGTTGAGTTTATGTGGCCCCTGACTGCAGTTCCAGAGTCAAGGTTCAAGTCAGGTCAAGGTCGGCCATCTGAACATCAAATTAAATTCTTCATGAAAGAAATTTTTAGGTGCAAACCAGAGATTATCTCTGTTAATTAAGCACAAAATTTCCTTTGACTTTAGTTTAGATGGAGAGAAGATCAAACATTCAGCGATTCAAAGCAAAATCAGACACATTTATTAAACTGGGCTGAAGAAACAGACACATGTACACCTCAGACCTTTTGCTCTGAACAACAATCATCCCCAAATTTAGCTAATTGTGCATCTATGTATGATCTATGACCCATGTGATTTCAACATTCAGTTTCTTCAACAGAAACTTTTATTTAATTCATTTAAATATTGGCTGTTTAGTTTATTCAACAGAAAAAAAAATAAAAAAGTAAAAAAAAAAAAAAATTAAAAATACAAAAGCTTTTTTGTGACTCTCCTGAACTTTGAAGCTTCAGAGTTTTGGTAAAAAGTTTGGACAATTATATTTACATTAAACAATTATTTGACTCTTTATCATTTCAAACCAGAGTTATTACCAGTTGCAGGTTGTAGGCCAGAACCAGAACATCTGCAGTTAGGCTAAATTACAAACATGTGGACTCTTCAGAATTTATGGGAATTAGGTCCCAATACCCAATCTAAAAGGCACCATATTAAAGATGCATGCCACACTTTGAGATTTTTTTTCTTTACTTTCCGTTTATCCAGTGAAATATTTGGTTGTTTGTGGTCATAATGTCAAAAACTTCAATACTTATGCAAGGCACCTTAAACACGTCATCAACTGATGTTAGCGCAGAGTCATTGTTATGATATATAATATTAATTTAATGAACTACTGCATCGATTAAAACTCGTATGTTTGCCCAATACTTTGAAAGCAAATTTAATTTCACAGAAGCTACGTAAAATTAGCATTTAAAGCCAATGTGTGGCAGAAATTTAACTAAGTATTAAAAATTAAGAACAGTAGTTAGGAGTTAATTATTCCGTTATAAGCGTAATCCGGTGGGTTAGTTGGACATGGTCCAGCGCGTGGCAGTATGGCGCCGGCAGCTTTCCTAACTCCACAATAAACACTAGACGAGCTGGAGCTAACTTAGCCCACATTCTAGGCAGCATAAAATGCACATATTTATGTAAATTTAAACTAAACACGGCGGATGGATACAGTAAGCGCTAAATTTAGAACTCATTTTAAGGCCTGGAAGCAGTTTTCCTGTGTTAAGAAGCAGCGCTCTGTGGTACATCCATTCAAGCAGGTCTGTCCACCACTCGCCAACACAAGCCAGCCTCAGCAGAGCCTCCATCTTGGCTAGCTCCGTTAGCTCCCACAGCTACTCACCATCCCTGGCTGTTCCCATCAGCTGGTCGAGCAGGGCTCTCATCTGAGCCTGGGCGGACATGGTCTACGGTGACTCCGTCGACAACCGAACAACTGGACCAGCTCTTCTATTTGTTTACCAGGTTGAACCGTATTTTTTTCCAACCATCACCGCTAACTGCTTTTCTTTACGTCGCGAACTGACCCGTTTCCGTTTAAAATTACGGAAATGACGCGTAACTTCTATGGCGCTACAGATCTAAGATCAACCAATCACAATGCTCTAACACCAGTGCCTCGGCAAACTATTAATCCCTGAATTAAGACTGCCAGGTTGCAGCTATTTACAGCCGGTCACACTCCGATAGATTTTTTAAAAAAGGCTATGTTTAATTTTAGATGAAATTGTCGTGGAAAAACGGTATTATAATTGTTTTATTCTATTATTATTGGTAGAAAGTATAGATATTTCATATAGTAACACCTGTCAGACAAAGGAAAGGTAAAAATAGACATTCACGTTCTGCTTATCTCTGATTAGTTTGCGCAGATCTGGGCAGCTGCAGACAGAACCAGTGACCGACGAAGATCGGTTGAAAGTTAACGTAAGAAAAATTTCTCCTTTTAATGCCAATTTTTTAAAATTGTTTTAACTGAAATAATACTTATTTGTAGCAAAGATACCGATCTCGCTGCTGTGTGGGTTTAGCATTTGCTGAACGACTTGTGATAGCAAAGTACATTCACCTGTTTTTGAACTAGTTTCGCTAACTTATATGCCCAGTAAATACTAAATCTTTAATTTTATTTAAACAGCTTTGAGTTGGGAGTTGTCTGTGTCCAAGTGAGGGTTTAATTTTCTTATTATGAAGCTGTCCCTGCTGTAACTGGCAGTAAATAACCTGAGGCCACTGTGACTAACTGGGCGTGTTATTCCGGTTGAGGATGATAGGTTCTGCTTGGGTGTTTTGTTTTTGGGCACAGATGTTTCTGGAACCAGTTCTGGCACATCTGAATGGGCTCAGAAGCACAAAGGTTGATGCAGATAAGAGAACCGGACCGGCCAGGTCGAAATTATTCGCACCACTCAAACATTTTCCAGACTCTGTCTCTTTAAAACAACAAACTGTGTGATAAAAAATAAGGAAAATGACAATATTTACAATGCATAATTTGTGGTTTGTATTCAGCCTCACCGAAACAAACATTTTCACCAAATCTTTGTAAAATGGCTCATTTGTGATCCTCACCACAGGTTCTCAATTAGATTTATGTCTGGACTTCAACTAGGCCATTCTAACTGATTGCTGTGGGCTGGAAAGGAGCTCCAGTAGCAGTATGTATTACAGCAAACCCAAAGAAGCCTCTGACTGAAGATACTCTATGAAGACAGTCCTGTGAAGATGATGTTCATAATTTTCTCGATTATGAACCAGAACCAGCTCCTTTAAGAAATCTATAAGAAGTAAATAATGCTAGCTTTAGCAGTTGTTATTTCTTTAAAATAATGTAATATATTTATAACATTCTCACAAAAGAATATTATTTTTTTTTCTGGGTACATTTTTTTGTATATAAAAAATAATCTGAAAGAGTCATGATGCTGTTGCTGTTCAAAAATAACGGGTTTAGTTAAACTGAAAGTTAGGGTCGTAAAGGCTGTTGACCTTTGACCTAATCCATCCCATAATAGCCTCTAACATCCATCGTCCCCTAACATGATGCTGCCACCACCATGTTTTTAAAAAGTTTGAGCGTTTCCTCCTGGTTTTCCATTCTGACGCCGCTTCCTGTCTCAGCTCTGCAGGCCGGTGATGCTGTGAAGGCGATGGCGACCGCAGACCAGGCCACCGAGGGCTCCCCTCTGAAGCCGGCAGGAGACGGGTCCGAGGCGGCTCCGGCGGCGGCAGAACTGCAGAAGAAGAGGTGCAAGGGGGGATTCTCCAGGATGAGCCACTGGAGGACGGCGGTGTTCTTCCTCTCCCTCTTCCTCTGCCTCACCGTAGTCTTCGCCTTCTCCTTCATCATCCCCTGCCCTGAGCGGCCGCAGTACAAACTCAACTGGAGCCGAGGATTCTCCGACGCAGGCGAGTAGCGGCGCTGCAGGCAGGCAGACCCTAACGAGTATGAGCTATTGATATGCTAATCAATTATTATAGATTAATTAATCTGATGATCGATTATTCTGACGATTAATTGATTATTCTGAACATCAATTGACTATTCTGATGGTTAATTGAAGTAACAATTAATTGATTATCCTGACAATCAATTATCCAGAAAATTAATCAATTTATCAGATTTAAAAATGGCCACATTCTGTTTTCTCTACTTTATATCATATGTTTTTCATGAAGGTTTGATGGTTGGAAGCAGAAGATTCATCTGCAGCTCGAAGCATCAACATGAGCAGCTCAGGCCTCCTGCTGAGCCTCAGTGCAGCGTCTGGCTGCCATGGATTATTTCATGGATTAACTGAGTGATAATTGGATAAAATAGGATCTTTTTAGCTAAAACTGAGAAGTTCAGACATTATTTTCTGGTTCGAACAAAGAAGTTTTTTTTTTATCTTAAATGCAAAATGTTTTTGTGCAGCTTTGGCTCCTTTACTGATCTGAATGTGTTGCTGTTTCAGCGTACGACCTTTACTCCACTGAAAGATTAATCGATTACTAAATTAGTTGACGATTCAGTGATCGATTAATCGTTTGAGCCCTAGACGCTGACCGCCGTCTCTCCTCTCACAGTGACCTACGACTTCCTGGCTCTGGACCACGCCAACAGCGACAAGGTGATGGACGTCCTGATCGTCATCAGAGGCCCAGAAAGTTCCCCAAACACGTCGTGTTCTGACCAAGGTGGAGTCGCGTTCGGTCGGCGTTTCACTGCAGCTCAGTTTGGCCGATTGATTCTCAGCGTCTGTCTTCCAGGCCTGACTTCGCCGTGTCTGTTCCTGCTGGCGCTGGACGGGACCAAAGGAGAGATGCTGTGGGAGCGGCCGCTGGGCGGCGAGCTGGACTGGGCCCAGTGCGGCCTGCAGTGTCCATCCTGGCACTGCCTGCTGTCCCATTCTGACAACCTGACCGCCGTCAACAAACACACCGGTCAGTTTATCTATCGAACCGAAAAGTCTCCTCTGTTGGAGCCTGAGGCCTTTGTGTAAACACTAGGAAGAAAACCTTTACCGTCCTTTATCTGTAGATATTTAATTTTCTGAAATCAGGATTGGGGCTTAAAAGATTAATCGTATTTAATCGATTATTAGAATAACAATCAATTAATGCAGTAATCAAATAATCGTTATCTGGACTAAAAAGCAAGTCATTTTACTGAAGAGACATCACAGTCAGAGCAGTAATGAAACTAAAACTGAAGACGAAATCTAAATATTTTTCATTTTTTAAGCCGTTTTAATGAGGCGTCGACCTTTCAAAGTCCTGATGTTGATAAGAATTTGATGCTGATGTGTTAAAAGATGAAATATTTCCTTATCTAAAAGTTATATCAAAGTATAACTCAACAACCCTCTTGTTAACCCTTTCATGCACAGCGGTCACTTCAGTGGACAGCTGTCTAAAAGCCATTTCTGGAGCTTCCTGTGGATTTTTATGTTATAAATGCACACAGACCACTGGAGTGGACACTAACGCATCATAAAACACACTATAACTACTGGCCATCAGCTGCAAATGCAAGAAATGATTGTTGTTAAATCCAATATGGCCGACCCGGTCCCTCCTTCTTGCAGGTAAAAAAATATGGTGACATCAGAAAACCCCTACAGAACAATACTACTGATGTATTTTTCAAATAACTTTGTTTTTGGAAAAATTACAATTCATCAAATAAATAAATAAAATTAAAAAAATGTAATTTTTTTCCCTAACTTTTTTTTATGCCTTAAGAAAATAAAATAAAAAATGGGAAAAAAATCCTGACACAGGATCTTAATTCATTCATGAAAGGGTTAATTTTTGGTATTTTTTTCTTTAGGAGTTCTCATAAAATTATTACTTTATTTTTGTAACGATACGACGTTAAACTGGAAATATTAATCCGACCCGACGCCGTGAAGCCTGACTGTCTTCAGGCAGAGGTGGAAAAATTAATCTCAAGAGAAGAAATGCTTCAACATGTTCAAGTAAAATAAAACGTCTACGCAGGTTCTGATCAAATGATCAATCATTTAAAAATGACATCATCAGCTGAACCAAAATATGAAATTAAGAGGAAATTTTGGTATTTTAAGGATGAAAAGGACAATAATTCATATAAATAGCCAAAAATAACAAAATCAAGCAAAAATCCAGATCAGTTTCTTTCAATTAAAAATTTATGAAACTTTAGCAGAAACTGCAGGTGAGAGTCTGTCTGGAGGTTAAAACACGTTTGTTTTTCATTCAGTGGGAAGAAAATCCAGAAATTTACTCAAGAGAAGAAATGCTTCATAATAAAATTATTCAAGTAAAAGTGAAAAGCACAGCGCAATAAAAATATTCCTAAAAGTACTTTTTTATTTTATTTTTTTAAAGTTACTCTGGTAAATGTAACTAGTTACGACCCAGTTCTGGTTCCAGGTGTGGTGATGTGGCAGCAGCCTCGGCCCTCGGTTCTGTCCGTCTCGCTGCCCGTCCTCGGTGTCCCGGATCTGGACGGGGATCGGGTCCGCGACGTGGTTCTGGTCCTGCTGAATGGCACACAGGTAGACCGGTTGCTGCGTCGCGGCGGTTCTGATCCGACCCGTCAGATTTAACCGCTTCCTGTCCAAACCTGCAGACGCAGCTGGTGCTGCTCTCCGGGCAGACGGGGGATCGGATCGGGTCGGAGGTCCTCATCGGCGGCGGCGGCGCCACGCAGAGCCACCTGCTGCACCGAACCAAAGATGGATCGTACTTCCTGCTGCTGCAGAGAGGTCGGTAGCTCAGATCCCGACCGACCCGGATCAGAGTTAATGTAGTGACTAAAACTGACAAAGTCTGAAACCCAGAAAACATTTTCATTAAAAAGAAAAAATAATAAAAACCGTAAAACTATTGTGTTGCCCTTCTAGAAATTTCAAAAGTGATAAATTGTTTTTAAAAACGGCTGAAGAGGCGGGTTTCACCGGGAGCTTCAGGTTATTCTCTAGTTTTCTAAAAGTTTTAAATTCAAATTCAAAAAAACTTTATTCATCAAATTAAATGTCACCATATTTCATATCATTCAAATATCTTCAGAGTCATTGTGGTGATGATGATGTGAGCAGGAAGGATCTCCAGTAGCAGTCAGTCATGCAGCCAACTTAAGAAGCCTCTGACTGAGGACGACATGCTAACAGCTAACACGTCCTGGATGGAACCAGATTGTTTTAGCTACATCTGCTAATCCTCCTCGTTTACTTTTGAAAGGCAGAAAATTAAAAAATCAAAAATTTGACATAAAATTTTTTTTTAACTTAAAAATTTCTGATATCAATCTGTAAATGAGTTTAGGGTCATAGTTCAGGTGCTGTTTGATGCTAATCAGATGCTCCCAGCTGTAAAAACAACATCTTGTTGCCACGGTTACGCTTCGTAAGTAGCCACAAGGAAAAAGAGCAAAAATCCTTCTGGTTGCTCAGCATCCAGAAACGGAACAATATGGTGGTGAAAAGTTCGTTTCTATGCAGATGATGATGATGCCGGCCCAGATTCTCAGTCATTAGCAGCAAAGAGCTACGTTCTCTCTGGCTCTCGCTCAGAAACGTCGCTGCGGCGTGTCGTAGTGTCGCCGTTGGTCCCTGGAAGCAGCAGGGTTGGGGTGAAGCTAACCTGAGCTCGTTCCCGCAGCCTCCGGCGTGTTCAGCCTGCCCCTCTGGGAGATCGCAGCCAGAGCCAAACCGGGTCTGGGTCCGGATCTGAAGCGGGACAAACACCTGGAGAAAACGGCCAGCAACACAATGGGCCTGGTGCCCATCTACCAGTAAGAGCCAGCCTGCGTTACCCAGCATGCATCAGGTGTTCTGGGGTCTCATGTCTCCACTTGCAGGTCGGAGGCCAGACGTTTGCTGAGGACCAAAGTCGGGGATGATTCCTCTGACCTGCTGGTTGTGTCTAGAAGAGAGGTGGCGCTAGTGGACGGACCTTCCTTGAAGCGACGATGGAGATTCAACACCAGCTCCACCGGGGGGTCCGGCTGCCTGTCTATGTCTATATATCTATATCTATCGCTGTCTAGCTCTGTCCTGATGCTTCTCTCTCTCCTCCTCCAGTTTTCCGTCCTTCGGTCACTTCAACAGAGATAACCTTCTTGATCCTGTGGTTGAAGTTGAAGATGATGATGTCAGAAACTCCACTAAGGTGAGTCCATCATCATCATCGTCATCTTCATCTTCAGACCTTCCTCCCCCATGTCGACCCCCCCCTCTGTCCTGCAGGTCGCCATCTTGGACGGAGGGACCGGCGGTCTGCTGTGGGAGGAGCAGCTGCAGCCCGGCGCCGGCCCCCTCCGACCCGACGTCGTCCACACCACCAACTCGCTGTCCGTCTTCATGTTCTGGGGCCTGATTCGGTCCGGGTCCAACTCATCGGTAGGTTCTGCTCCTGTCGGCCGGCGTCCGGCCCGGAGCCGCCGCTCAGCCCGGTTCTGCTCTCTACAGGAGTCTGGCGGTTCCCCGTGCTCCTACATGCTGCACCCGCTCTACCCGGACGCCCTGCTGGAGTTCTGCCACGGCGTGGAGCGCATCGTCGCCTTCAGAGGTAAAACCGGCCGGGCGCTGCAGCATCATGCTGGGGGCGGGGCTAAGCTCAGGAAACCCAACCACATTATGGGATGGATTAGATCAGAGCAGATTCAACACAGAGGTCATGAAAATCTCATTAATCACATTTTTTAGTTTAAAAATGTGATTAATGACGATAAAAACGGGAAATTTCTGAGTTTCAAGTCAAAATTTCCAAAGGTAATAAAAAATAGATTTGATTTTAGAGTTTTAAAAGTTAAAAATTCTCTAAAAATATCTGATAAAAATTTTCTAGAAAAACAAACATGGAAAGTTTTAAGTCAAAAAATTGACTTGAAACTCAGGAAACATCTGTGTGTTTTTTCTATGCATATGGGACTCGGATCGACTGAATAGAAACTCCACACTTTTCAGATTGTAGCTGTAAAATATTTTGGACTCTGAGAATCATTTTAGAACTTCCTGTTGGTCTGTCCTAAAATCCAGACGAAATACTCTGAGGAAGTTTGGCAGCATTTTATGGAACCGTTCTCCCGTCTTTTCCAGCCACTCTGATGGAGAGCAGTCGCCACGCCGCCTACTTCCTGCTGACGGGGCCGGAGGCGGGCGAGGCGGGCGGCACCGTGGTTCTCACCAAGCGGAAGCTGAAGCAGGACGTCCCATTGTGCAGCGTCCGCCACATCAGGACCAGCCAGCAGCACAGCGACGATGAAGTCCAGGAAGCGTTCAACCGACTGCGCTTCAGGAGCAACTAGTGAAACATGGCCGCCGACTGGCGAAACATGGCCGCCGACTGGCGAAACATGGCCGCCGACTGGCGAAACATGGCCGCCATGCTGCGACTGTTCCTCACTACAAAGCCAAGCTCTTACTTTATCACGAGCCAAAGAAAGTCCTTCCTACTTTACTTTAACTGGATTCTTCCTGACACCTGCACAGGTGAAGGTGACGTTACCATGACGACGTATTACGCAATTAGAGATACAAAAAAAATTATTACATTTCATAAATTTTGAAGAAAGTACTTGGAAATTTCAGAGTTTGAAAAGTTAAAAATATGCTAGAAAAAAATTAGTTTGAGATTAACCTTAGAAATTTTCTAGAAAAAGTGGGAAATGTGTGAATTGGAATAGTCAAAACCTTCCTGGAGAAAATCACATTCTGTAGAAAAAAACCTGGAAATTTCTGAGTTTCAAAAGTGAAACATTTTTCACTTTTGAAACTCATAAATGTCCACCTTTTTTCTACAAAATTTCTGAAATTAAACTTTTTTTTTTAAAGAAAATTTTACTTTTTAAGCTAAAATTTTCACATTTTTTTCTAGAAAATTTCTGAGATTAATCTAGAAGTTTGATGTTTTTTTCTAGAGATTTCCTAATGTATTTTCTAGCCATACTGTCCCTGATGCGCAGGCAAATGCCAGCGTCCAATCAGAACCGTTGAAAAGCTGCTGCTGCGTACAGAAACTCGCCCGCTGTATTAACTGAACCAGATCCGATCGAAGCTGGACGATTTTCACTCTATGCATGAAAATTTGCATATGCCGTTTTTTGCTTTTAACCGCAGAGGCCTTAAAGGAAACATGTCAGCCTTTAAACTCTTTAATTTGTTGCGACTCAGCAGGAAACGGAGCGACTGGTTCTGATTCAGACCAGAACCAAACCAACACTAGCAAACACTTAAATGCTGTTAATTTGCTGTCAGTTTAGACATAAATGTTATGTTGAATCCAAGATGCTGGAAGTTTTACGATCTGCAGGACTAGAGCTAAAACTTTACTAATCATTTATGAACATTACACTGTGGTTCATTAGATCTGCTGTCTAGTTTCAGAAGCTTTCCTCAGAACGAGTGAAAACAGAAACACTTAGTTGTAGATTTTCTTGCTTTGAACATTTGGAGTTGATGTTTTATTTGATAAAATGTTTGGATTGAATAAATTACTTTTTTAAATAAAGACTTCAGTTTGAAATGTGGAAATGTGTTTTTGTTTCTTTAACAAGAAGAGACTCCAGAACCAACAATCCAGATCAGATAAAAGGTCGCTATCAGAGCAACCTGGACTTTGTGTTTAAAAAGAAAAAGTTTGAAAGAGCTACAAATAATAAACAAATGTATTATTAATACAGAAATACTTCATGTTTCTGTATTAAATATCTTTTTGCTGGGTAGTGTAGCTGCTTTGCCACCCTGTTTATATCAAGCAGGTTGTGGATGAGTTGGGAAAGGAAATTCCCGAACCGATGATCCCACCGGACCGGACTGCAGCAATTAAGGGGAAAAAACTTAAACAGGAAACAAAAACTAGACAAGACATCAAGAGGCTGTTTTTTATAATAACTGGTTCCATTACAGCTCAGAAATGATTGGATGTTTCCTTTTTTGTGTGCTTTTAATAGTTTCTGATGTTTTCTTTATTGACCTGTCTGCAATAAAAAGATTGTTTACTTAAAAATATATTTTTTTTTTATCTCAATCTTTCTAAGATTCTTCTAAAAATTTCTGATTTTTTCCCAGCAACTTTTCCCCTAATTTTTCAAATTAGAAAATAAATAAAATTTCTAGAAAATTTTAGATGAATTTCAAAATTTGAGCTTTTTCTTTTTGGAGAAATGTATTCTTGCTTTTCTATCTATAATGGCCCCATCTAACTATAATAAGCTTCAGACATGAAACTTCAGAGAATTTCTGAATTGCTCCCAGAAAATCTGGTTTTTGTAATTTATCTTTAAGAACTGAGACTCTCATCTACCAGTTGAGACATCTTAACTTCATCAAAAGTTGTTAAACTGTAAATATTCAGGTAGTGTGAAATATTTCAAAATATCAGTTCAGCAATGAGCAAGAAACTAGGCAGCTCTGTCGTTCACATCTTAATATGGGAAACTTTCCAGACAGGACACAACAGCCATAGTCCAGTCCATAGTCCAGTCCTCGTTCCGGAGACAAAGCGCCTGCGCGGCTTACGTGTCGGCAGAGGGGTGTGTCACCACGCAGAGACTGACGTACAGACGTGGAAGCGCTCCGTCGCTATAGTGAGAAGAACACACAACCAACACAGACATCACACGTTCAGTATCAGCGGCGTTACTCCAGAGTTTTATTTTCTGCTTTATTTGGGAAAATATCCCGGCAGTCTGCTCATCCCAACGAGCGCGTGTACATTACACCAGTAATTACACTCAGGCCGCACCCTGCCCACGCGCAAAATGTCATAAAGATCCAGTAAAACACAATTTTCTGCACTTCCGCACGACGTGTCAGCGGCGAAGCTGCGTTTGTTCCCCCTTTGATTACAGTGAATATCTGTAGGGTGAATGCCAAACGAAACACGTTTTTGCCTAAAAACTCAACTGTTAAGTTCTCTTAATAAGTAACTAATTGTATGAGAATGTACTTCCGCTTCATTCCACTTGATTTTTTTCCTGTTATTTAAACAATAAAAACTTCCTCCTGCTCCTTGATAGGGGATTAAGGCTCTCCCGGATCTCCTCTCAGTCCTCGGACCTGCGTACAGGAAGTCTAAACTTCAGATTCGCTCAGTTTGTCATTTCAATGTGACCTGAGCAGTCCGCCATATTATCATAACAGGACTGCACGGATACGTTTCTCCGAACCGGAGCGCACGCGCTTCGCGCTCTTTGCCCGTCAGTGAGGAAGCACGCGCCCCGAACCGTCCGCTGTGAAGACTCTGAGCTCTCGCTGCATCTAAAAAGGTAATCTTCACCTTCATTGCGTCTCTAAGAGTTTAAACGGGCTTCCTAACGAAGGGCTGGGGTGTGTTTCAGGCGGGGAACCACCTTAGCTGTCGGTGTTGAACATTGTTTAGTCTCCAGGCTGTTTACAACGATGTTTAATGAAGGCCAACAGTAAAAAAAAAATAAGAATAAAAATACACCGACAAGCCGAACCTGGTTATGCGGAAAAGAAGCTCCTTTAGCGGAGAGGAAAACCTCTGCGCCCGGGAGGAGTTGGGCAGTAATGTCGTTTAAGTCACAATATATGGAGGCTAAGCAACCAGCCGGTTTCGGTTGTTTAGTGTTTTTTCCGTAAAGGAGGAACGGGAGCTCAGCGCCGCATTGGTGAACACAGCTCAGGGTGCCGCATGCGACACCTCGAAAATAATCCCCTGGGTTACCAGAACCGGGCTTTCAGTGCGAACATTCACGAACAGAACCGAGGCAATTCAATAAAACAGATCCGAGGCAATTTTTCCTTTACTACTTAAAGTGCCTACGTCACTGCCGGTGGCTAAATGAAGGTACAGCAGTTAGTCAGTTTTCATTGATATTGATTGTTTTATTGATTATTATTAAAGATGGCTGAGGACATTAAGGCCAAACTGGACCAGTACCGAACCGCTCCCTTTGATGCCCGATTCCCGAACCAGAACCAGACGAGGAACTGCTGGTCCAACTACCTGGGTAAGGATACACCTCAAGGTCACAGCACAACAGGCTGTTTTACCTGACGGAGCAATAAGTCCAGCTTTAAAGTCGGTTTATTTTCTGTCAGGGTGATTTTAAAATGTGTAAATTTGGATTTTCCCCCCCCCATTTTCTCTGATTCCAGACTATCACCGCTGCCAGAAAGCTCTGACTGCTAAAGGAGTAGACACCACCCCCTGTGAGTGGTACAGGAGGGTCTACAAATCCCTCTGCCCCATGGCCTGGGTAAATAGATTCAACACTTTCACTAATAACTTTACTTTGTAAAAATAAAAATATTTTATTCCTGAAGACAGTCTGTCTGGTTTGGTCAGATGTGCTGAATTTCGCCTGAAATGTCAGTAAATATCAGTGGATGAAAATCCTTCTAATTGTTTTCCTGTGAACTTTGACCCTTCAGATTGAGAAATGGGACGGGCAGAGAGACGACGGGACGTTTCCAGGGAAGATCTGAGGCTGCCGGCTCTGAGGATGTAACTCTGTTAGCTGAATGTTTGTAAAAGCGACGCCTGGTCGTCACTTTTCCTCTCCAGCTGCTCTGCCCAGCAGCAAACTGAAACTGAATGGTCATTCCTTACAAACCCATTAAATGTACAGCAGATTCTGCATTAAAATGTCTCAGGATATATTTATGGAGTTCCAGTGTCTGAGTGTTTTCCCTCCAATAACGGCAACAACCGCTCTTAGTAAATTACTAAAAATAAGAAAAAACATAAATTATGTTTTTGAACATACATATTATGAATAAATGCAGATTTTAGTCATTTTTCAGGGAATAAATCCATTGAATTTTCACAATAAAACACTAGAATGGAATTTAATTTCCCTTTGAGATCAATAAAATACTTTTGAATGTAAACTAAAATACCAGAAATAATTTTTAGATAAAATTTGCTTGACACCTGGTTGGAAACTGCTTTTTTCTTTTTACATTATTTTCACTGTAATTGACATTTCATGGATGTTTTTGCTAAAAATGTGTTCTTTAAAAGTGATGACATACATTTCAGGTCAGGTGACATTAATGGATCTAAATTAGTTTTATTTAGCTGGACTGATTAGGAAAATTGTTCTTAACTGGCTGAAAATTACAGCAAAACATGTTTTTAAATATATTGAATAAATACAGGTTTTAGTCATTTTCAGGGAATAAATAGATTTAATTTCCACAACAGCATGAAAAATGACCAGGAATAGTTTTTAGGTATTTTCTTGTCAGGTTGGAAAATGTTTTTGTTTTGTTTTTTTACATTTTCAAAATTAACAAACTTAATAAAATATGTTTATTTAGCTGGGTTGGAAGAAAAACGGCTCTTTGGATGAAAAAGTTATGTCTGTAATGTAGAAATAAATCATAACTCATCAGAAAACAATAATTTTAATATTTTATTCATTTAAATAAACCTACACCGAATACACATAAGATTAGAAAAATAAATATTTAAAAACGCTAGGAGTCAAATATACAACCATAACCCACAATTAATATACAGAGAAAGATTAATGTTGATGTTGGACATTTAAAACCATAAAACTGCATTTCCT